CCCTCTACCCTCAATACTAAAGACCGAAGACTAAGCATTTCTGATCGTGTAGATTTGGCCGTTGTCGAACAAATGGGATAGCATTTCACTGCATTGACCAGTCATCGTTCGGCTCGCGCACGCTTGTCGGCTGCCAGTCAGCCTATTAAAACAGTTTTCGTGCTAAAAACTAAGTCAAATTGTGTGCGCTAGTTTGCTTCAGCAAACACAGACACAGATGAAAGGATGAACTCAGGCAAAAAGGACAGAAGTTGGGGTTGATAGTGTAATAATTATGAAACTTGAATGCAGCAAGGTGTCGTGGACACTTGAACACAGTCTATTCAGAAGAGTACAGCGGTTATAAACTGAAAGCAGATGGGGAAAATTGAGATATTCAGCTTCATTACGCATCTCAGTCGAATGAAGATGTCTGTATTGATGAGAGCATAGCCAATTGAAAGGAAACTGAATACCAAGAGAATAGGTAATTACAGGACTAGTACGGAAACCAGATGGGACTCATATTTACCTAACCACAGTGATCACAATGTCTTGAACAATGCTTGAACAGTTTAGCCAATTTGCAACGACGTGGGAGTGGCCTTATGGTTGATCAACTATAGGTGAATGAATGCATTTCTGTTAATAAAACGGCTCAAGAAACGCGTTAATATCTCCCCCCTCCAGTCTGACCTGAGATGTAGTCGTGGTTTTAAAGAGGTACACAAGTCTTGGCCGAGCCTGCAAAATATGCACCAATCATGGTGACGTAACAATCTCGATGCGCACTTACTGTCCCCTAACCGATAAACAGCATGATTGCTTTTAGCTATGTCTGATTCTGATTTGCACCGTTCCGTTACAGTGTCAGCACACGCCATACGATTTGCAATTGAAATTCGTCAAGCATCAGATCAAGTTGTTCTGTTGATCTCATTAAAGTTTCCAAGTCCATAAATTGTTCAAACCTATTCGGTTTTACCCACGCATCCGGCCCTGTTGATGATCTTGGATATGTGGGTTTCACTCCTTGGGAGATCGTTAATCCCCCACGAGGTAGATGCATTTAAATGCGACGAAAATCTTCGTGATGATCGACATAGAGCACTAGACAGATGTTTCGTCCTGTTTGAGATTTATCAGCTGTGTGTACTACTTTGTGCGTCCCTGTCAGGACTCTAACCACGAACCTTCGGGTTGGGAATTCAAACCCTTACCTCCTGAACTACACGGTCGACCGGCATCACATTGTGCGAATGGCTTAATCAATTCAAACAGTGATGGTTTCGATTAGTCCATTCGTACTGCTAACGAGTTCCAAACGGGACGAAACAACTGTCCAACACTCCACGTCGGTCATCACAAAGATTTCTATCACATTTTCACAAAACGTCCAATTATCTGAACCGTATCCAACAGGTCACTGTCAGTGTCATGGCAGTGAAAATAAATGTTAAACCATACAGGTGATTTGAAAACAAACGTCTCGCGCTCAGTGTGCACCCATAACTCCTAGTGACATGAAAAATTCACCCCGCGGGGGAATCAAATAGTTCAAATGTAACGTGCAGCCATAGCGCGGCTATTTTGATTTGACTGTGAGTCGTGTGCATGTCTCACTGGACCTTTGGTTCATGTTGGTTTGTTTTCTGTACCTTGCAGATTGATCGTAAAGGCCCTCTGGAATACCACGAACACTGTTACTCAGTGACTCCCAGGACAGCCCAGGAGCACAGGTGATTGGTCAGGTTAGCGTTCGTATATCGAGTGCCCGGCCTTGGCAATAGATCACGGGTATTCGTGTGTCGAATACCTGCCCGAGTGTATCTCACGGCTAAGAGGTGACAAGCCTCATAACACCGTAAGCTCAGAGTGCCGTCGCGAACTACACAAATTTATTTCTACTCAATAGACGTCGGATAACGTACGTCTCTACTATTTCACTGTGTGTTTAGCATTAGCGAACCGCCAGATGTACGTGTACTGCTCCCTTATTCTGTTTCACTTAGGTTCGACAACGCTCCTGTTTAGCCACGACACAGTAATACTACGCCTCCGTTTTGGCCCGCTAACACGAGAGCTCACGTGGTTGTTGCTGTTGTCCCGGTATTTAGCGAAACGTCTACAACTTGCGTAACATTACGGGACGTAGAGAGAACCTGTTGAACAGCAAAACGAAGCAATGTGAAGATCTTAAACCAAAAGTGAGACGATACCGAATGTGGGTATGTGAACAGAACGGCGAGGTGGTCACATCAGCCCGAGGGTTGGATGATATTTGCTTCTTTCGAATACTGATGAGCTCTGATTCATGCTGCGTGTTGCGGAACCGCGAAACGCTCACGCCATACCCTAATGAGGAGTTGGCGTGTGGACCATGCATAAGGAAATATCACGTGTGTGTGTGTGTATGCATGTAATCCCTCGACTCTTTGATTGGTTGCTGTTACGACCGGTTCAGTGTCCTTTTTCTAATTCACTCATTCGCCGTTCACCTGCTAATTCGCTTCACTTCGTTTCGTTTGACTACTGTCTGTGATTTGGCCTCGAAGAGATTTGTCTCTTATTCCCCTCCGGTCGACAAGTCAGGTCGGATCTGACATATATAGGCTGATGTGTTGTACACCGCTCGGTGGGTGTGGGTGTGGAAGACATGCAAGCATGTGAGCTGCCGAGTTTCGCTCCACTCATTTGCCTACTCGCTTGCTCATCCGACCGACTGACCGACCGACCGACCGACCAACTGACCAGTTTGTGACAGTTTCCCCTAATTGGAATTAATTGAATTAAGTTTGTGTTAGAGCAGTCAGTTTTTATGAGAAACCAGTTTGTCCATCCGGTTCCTGGTTTTTGTCTATGCTCGTGGATGGGCATGAAGTCAAACAGAATGTGAAATGATTAGATGAGGCCAGATGAAACATCACCGCGGGTGCTTGCTCTCTGTTCACGACCAAACAACTGTGCTGTGATCTGGCTGAGTATGAGGTCAGTGTGAAGCAATAATAATAATATTCCTTGCCCCGATGCTTACTTCCCGTCCCGTCCCGCCCCCCCCTACCCCCTCCGTCCATCCCATCGCTTATTGGGACTGCACTGCCCGACCGCAACACTCGCAACGCGAGCACAGACATACATCCGTGAACTCCTCCCAATTCGTCGAATTCACCGGCCGAGATACTGGTGCGTGTGCGAATGTTGGGACTAATCAGCGTGACCGTGCGGTTGGGTTAATTATGCGTGGACTGTTACACACGGTGCGTTATGATGGCGATGCGGATGATGATGATGATGATGATGATGATTATGGTGATCCGTCGGCTAAAAAGTCAGACTAATCAACATTTCTCGGTCGCTTGAGTTCCGGACCAGTTACAAATTTGATTTATCTTGCCCGAGGGTAAGTGTACTACTCCTAGCCTTGGGATGATCTGTATGGGTTGGTGGTGGTGGTGGTGGTGAGAAGGTGTAAGATCTATTCACACGAGATGTGGACTACCCGGTACGGCGACGAGAAATCGTTCGACTCGGTTGTCTCAAAAACGGAATTTGATTTCCTTTTCCATGGTGTATTATACCTCCTGGTGTATCGGTTTATACGAAAAATAGGCTTATAATCTGAACGAAAGGACAGTACTCGTGGAAGAGTGGAAGTCACTGAACTTCTCACCTGTCGGTTGAATCGGTTTTATTGGTTTCGATCAGTTAGTTCTATGCTCATTTAAAGTATTGCCTAAAATGTTTCGTGGACACCACAAGCACCACAAGCACCACAATGAGCGATTATCAACCGATTGCATCAACCGAATGGGGCAGATGAACGAGACGAATTCGGTGTTGCATAATGAAGGCTAGGTCGTTGTTGTTGTTGTCGTTCTTGTTGTTGTGGTGGTGGTGGTGGTTGACTGCTTATATGTTACTGTGGGAGAACGTGATCCGAATTGTAAAATAATACAAATCAAATCACGGAATAGGTTACCTGTAGCTCAGTGAACAGCGGAATATTTCGGGCCCATTCGACTGTGGTTAACAGGGTACGAAATGGAAGGTCATTGTCAAGGTCACCCGATTTATCCACGAACTCCGATTCCCAATCGGATGGCAATCGAGTGCGCCTCAACTCGTTTGACGCTGTGATGTCCGGATGTGAATCGGACAATTTATCATTGGTCACAGAGGAGGACACGGACGATGAAGTAGACGGTGAAATGGTAGTCGGAAATGTGGAAAAATTGGTCCCAGTTCCAGTTGTCGTCGTTGCTGTTGCCGCCGCGTGATTGGTAGTCAGTAACCCGGGTGATTGGGTGGCGCCCATTTTGTTACTGGGAGGAATCCATCGAGAACCGATTCGTTTGAAAGCGGCGAATGTGATATTCGAGTGGCGTTGACTGAGCGATTCGGCGTGGAGTAACATGCGGATGAACTGGGCACTCATAGTTGGGCTAGTGAAGGTCGGTGAATTGTTACTAAATGCTTGTATAGTGCCCAGAAAACCAGAGTGTTCGAAAAATGGACTGTAGAGAGTGGGAAACTGGGGTAAACGACCCTGTTGAACAGCTGTATTGGAGAAAGAGTAAAAAATCAAACAGCATGAGAACAGAACCAGCCTCAACTGAAAACTGAATCAGTGTGTGTGTGTATGTGTGTGTGTGCGAGCGCTAATGCATATACCATTTTTAGGAGCGAAATTCAGCAAGGGCATGGATTATTGGTGCAAGGTGTCGTTACCTCGAACATTCACGGTGGACGGAATTCATCACGTCATTGAGGACTACTCTTGCATCAAAAATTGTTTCACGCTCTGTTGTCCGCACTCACAAATCCCAGTCCAATAAACTTTTGTTATTACATACCCACAATACTGTACCGAGACAAAGAGAGTTGCTTATTCCAGGAACAGCATCCGATAGGGGTAAATGAGGTTACATTGAACGGAATATCTAATTTTCAACAATCGGTTAGTTTTTTTCGTGATAGTCTCTTCATCCGTAGCCAAGAACCTAACAGTCTGTTTGTCCATTCTGTAGTTGCACAAGTAAATCGTTTAATTCAGTCACGTATGTCGTGGGAATCCAAGAACCGTTTCTTTGTGCAAGCAAACTACTCACAAACGTGTGTAGGATCACACAACACTAATAACGTCTTTTCGTTCATAAACACTGCACACATCACATTCAGCTATGCTGTGAAAACGATGCAGAGTGTAATACGCGCACACTCTTCAGTGTGTGTGTGTGTGTGAACTCTTCGTGCACCATGCTAATCATCCCCGCCATTCTACCTCCTTTGTGATTCACAAAACAAACCCAGCTTAATCCAATTTTTCGCATCGTATTCTTCAATCTGTACTTTTTCACCTCACCGAACGGGCTGATTGCTAATCAAAGTGTAGAAACCGGTTGTCCGAAGAAAACATCTTCAAAAGCGTCTTTCTCACGTTTGAAGTTTGGGGAAAATATGGTTTTCGCTTATAGGCTACTATACGTCTGAAAATGCTAGTGTTCATGGCTGAGCGATTGTAAGCTGGATTCTATTGCACAACCTAAGTAAGTAACGTCAAACAAACTCACTCACTAAGTCCTCAATCAAAGTATACAGATGCGTGAAAAAAAAAACAGGACGCTGGAGCAGGATAAAACCTCAGTTATGGTGTCCATCACGAATTGGACGACAATCATTGCTTACATTTCACATTAAATGAACAACCAATATATAGAATTGTTTTGTTTCCTGTTTGGTCAGTTTATCTACAGGATAGATTGGTAGCGGTAAATGAGAAAAAAAAATTGATCCGGATCGGAAGTAATTCATGGCATTTCATAAACTCTCTGAGGAGGAGGAGGAAGAGGATGGGACGGACGGGGGGGGGGCTGTTTACAAGTTCTTTCTAAACGGAACAGAATACTGGACAAGTTCATGTAGTGAGTCGTGCGGTGTTCTTCCCTCCCAAATGGGAGCGACGGCAGCAGTAGCAACAGCAACAACAACAACAATCTATATAAATATGGGTAGTGATCGAACCCTGGTACACTCATTTGTACTTCTTCGTTTTTTTTTTGAATACACAAAGTTACAATGTTCAGGAATTGGGGAAATGATCAATCATACGGAGAAAGTCGGACGGCGGCGGTGGCGTCGATGAGGGTGGTGATATTCGAACACACCGCTCCCCTGAGGGTTCATAATTTGGTTACGTAAGCATCGAGCCATCACTAACCCGGAAATACGTTTCCAATTCCAAACTGATAGCTACGGGTAAAGTTCGGAACTTTATCTCTCACTTCTATATACTTAGTTCTTCTATCACCGTGGGAATGCACACGACGTCGACGGAGGCGATAAAAATATTGTAGCAGTTCGAAAGTTGCTATAGCTCACAATTGAATCATAGTTTAAGCAAAGCAGCATGAAAGTTTAGTCGTTCCAATATGTTGCGTCATGTATTAGAGGAAACTAGTCAACTTGATGGACTCCATACAAAACCGACCGGGTTCAGCGCGTTAAAATAAAGAAGGGCAAATAGAACATGGACGAGAAGAAGGTACAATACTTGTATAAAGTATATGGATTATTTTGAGAGATAAATTTTAGTCATGTTTTTTTTCACTGTGGCTTTGTTATTTTACAACTGATGCACCAGCAACCATGGTTAAAATCGAGAAAGCATACGTTTGAACGACACTCGACCAATAGAAGTAAACACGCAATTGGATATTCCTACAGATCTGTCGGGTCTGATGTGGGGCAGTCGCATATTCAAGCCCCCTTAAATGAGGCTCGGAACATTAAGTGTTGAGAGAAAAAGATCCGATGAAAGCTTCCGGGTGTTGGACGAGTTTAATCGGTACCCGCATATATACATATATATATATATTTCATGGTTAACAGGGTGATGGGAATTAGTGTTGTATTGCACTGTGTTGCATAAGAGTTTATACTTCAGTCGACCGTCACATAACATGAGAACCAAACTGGTGAGCTTCAGAGATTGCAAGAAAACCGCTAGTCCTAGGTTGAGACAAAGTTAACTAGTTTGCACCTCCCACCCACTCTCTCTCTCTCTCACGGGCTCTCTTTCTCTGTTAACGATTAGGGGATAAAATGAGAACGACAACAGGCTTATTGAATATGTTCAATGGGTGTTTGGAGTCCGCAAAGTGAATGCAAGAAGAGTATCCAGTTTCGATTAGCCTATTTAATTGTTCAGAGGCCCCAGACACTGATAATCTTGGGTGGGAGTTTCACTTCTTGAAAGATCATTAATTCCCCAAATGTTGAATGCATTTAAACGCGATGGAAATTTTTATGAGGACCGACAAACAGTACTGCATAGCTGTTTTGTTCTGCTTGGGACTCGTCAGCAGTGCGTACACATTTTGTGTCCCTGTGTCAGGACTCAAACCACGAAACTTCGTGTTGGGAGTCAACCCCCGATCTACACCGCCGACAGCCATCCCCTTGTGCGAATGGTTCAGTCAACTCGGACGATGAATGTTTCCATCGCGTTTAAATACATTTACCTCGTGGGACATTAACGATCTCCCAAGTAGTGAAACCCACACCCAAGATCATCAACAGTGCCTAGGGCATCTGAACAATAGAATGGGCAAATCCAAACTCAATACTCTTAATTGTTTGAATCATTCGCAAAAGTTGATGACTGTCCACCGTATAGCTCAGGGGTAGGGATTTGAGGTCCAAACACGAATTTTTTGCAGTTTGAGTCCTCACAAAGGGACACAAAAAGTGTACGCATTGCTAAGGAGCCCCAAATAAGACAAAACAGCTGTCCAGTGCTCTTTGGCGGTTATCACGAGTAGTTCCGTCACGTTTGAACACAGTTAGCTCTGTGCTGCTCAGAAATTTTCGCAATTCGTTCATTTGAATAAGTTGAGGAAACGCGACTAGAAGTAACCAGATTGTGGTCTAAGATTTGAAAATAAAATCCGGAGAAATGATTGACATGCAAACCAATACAGCACGACAGTGGAAACAGAAGTGGAAATAACTGATTGTGAAATGCGAAACCGTTCAGGCTTTAAAATTCGAAACGATAAACGAGACAGTTTACTCAGCACGATTGCGAGTGTAAATTGACCAACGAACGGTTGCACGTACTAAACAACTAACATAGACTGCACTCCTGCTGGACAAAAACTATTATTATTATTATTATTATTATTATTATTATTATTATTTGATTCGTGGATAACTAACCGTTCGTTATTCCCATCATAGCGATCGAGTAAATTGGTTTCTATACGATGTAGTGAACACGATACATATTAGCGTTCTAATGGTAAAGCAAATTGGCCACTCTCTCTCTCTCTGTCTCCTGTTCTAATCTATACATGCACGTGTTCAGTCAGAGAAAATATCTACCCCATGCTCCTCTTTAGGTTGTCTATATATATATATATATATATATCAAGAGGTACTCGTACCATGAATTGCTTTCCATAATGCCTCGGACTCGAACCAGTGATGCACACACATAGCTCAAGATTGTAACTATGGTGATTGTTGTTAATTGTGGCCATTCACTCAATCCTGATCACAAAACAGTCGTTTCCTGATGCTCCGATCCACTGTGTGCACAGTCTGATCGACATAGGAAAAGCACGCAACGTTAAGCAGTGATTGTTGCGGTTTGTACTTAGTGGTTGGTGATACTCAAGCAGTAAAGGTTACCAACTTATCACCTCGGGAAAACGTTTGCTCGAATCCCCCCTCACCTCACCTCACCTCCAGCATCTGACTTCCCTATTCTCTGTGTGTTGTATAACAGTTTTCTCTCTTATTGGCCGCCATCTTCTACCCGAAAATTATACCATTGTATAGTCCAATCGATCGCCTTTTTCATAACTTGTTTTTTAAACACATATAGGCACTGTGGAATGGATTTCCTTTTTTTACGGAATGAAGACAACTTGTAGTAAGATACTCCAAAGCAAGATTCAACAGGTGCATCACTCTATTTTGGTGGACACGTAATGTGCAAGTCTAACAGCTCTCACTTCAAACTGTACCTCGGATCTGCCCGGTAGAGCTTGGGTGTATCACCATCAGGCAGTAAGCGGGGCTCACTTTCTTCTCACACGGTATACCGTGTGATCCCTAGCGGTGTGGATGGATGCACAATGGACGGTGATGGCTCAGTGCTGAGGTCACCAAATTTTCACCCCCAGAGGACGTGTGTTCG